TCATCAACATCATCATCAACATCAACAACAACATCAACAACCACTACTACATCATCAACATCAACCACATCGTCAACAACATCATCGTCATCATCAACATCATCATCCACATCGTCAACCACATCAACAACAACTACTACTTCATCATCAACATCATCCACATCGTCAACAACAACATCAACCACTTCATCATCAACGTCGTCAACAACAAAATCAACCACTTCATCATCTACATCATCCACATCATCATCAACAACAACAACAACAACAACATCAACAACACCAGCGCCAACAACAATCGGTCAGTAATATGCTAGATAATGTGTTGTACTTTATTGTAGCTTTCAAACCGATGATTAGGTCCACTAACCAAAACGTCTGAGATTTTATCGATGAAATGTTTATTACTTCGATGAGCTAATAATACTTGGCTGGAGATTGACTCAGTAGTTTCCCGTAGGAATGTCATATCTAGACATAACAAATTATACTCATTGTGTTGTTCGTACAGACTTCCGCTGTGAGAGACACCGTCAAGAAAAATTGACGTTGATTTGGACTTATCGTTGATTATTCTATTAGTTCAAGTTTTAGAAAAGACTTTCAATAGTAACATAGCGCTAGAGTATAGCAGCATAACGAGGATTTTGTCAGCATGAACTAAGCCCTGTGTCCTTCATTTTTTCTCTCGAGATGGCTTTCGATCAATCGGCAGGGGGCGGCACGCAGTCTATTGCATGCTGTACTTATAAACCGGACTAAGCACTAGAAGTTTTATTGATTGTGACTTGTATTCTTCCATATTTACTCTACTAACTGATGTATCTCTCTAATTGAGTTGTTATTTGAACAGTAATCGAATCTGAGAAGTACATCCATTTGTATGGTAAGTATTGGAGAGCACAACGTACAATAAATAAAATGTGTAATACTTAGTTTGATTTACCGGTACAACATCTAGTAGACTCTGATGGAATTCCGCTTTTATCTTTGTGGATATCTATATGAAACACTGAAAAACAGACCCGCAATGACACAAATAGATAATTTATTTTTATTGAGCTGTTCCCGACGAAAAGGAGAATAGGGTGTGGATGCACAGGCAACTGTAGAATACTTGAAAAGTAGAATTTAGAATTTTGTATGCGTATAGTTGATTTATGGGAAACAGAATTATCTTATTGTTTATAGAGTTCCATGTTACGATGCGACTTTAAAAAGAAAAGATATATATGTAGAAATAAAAATCAGGATAAATATACGGCATTCCGAACTCTGGTTGAAAAGTATTCTACGTCGTCTTAGTCGAGGATATCATGATATCCTATCAAAGGGAGCGCAAGTTTTAAGTAGAGTGAAATGACTTCATTAGTTTTTCAAATTTACAAGAAGGTTTTACATAGAGATGGACATAATGGCTGAAAACTAGCTTTAGTTGTGCTCTAGAATATCTGAAGTTGTTCAGAATTCAGTGACATAATGTTTTCGAATAACTTATGTTCGGTTAAGTTAAACTCTCAAAGATTGAATAAAATACGATGATTGAATACTGTCTATATGAAAGTACAGATGTGAGAGCAAACATTTTTGTATTTGATAGCCTGCAGTACGTTTCTTAATCAAACGATTTACCCAGTTGGTGCTCAACCAATGTCAGTAGCAGTCGTCGATCTGAATAATGATAACAAACCCGATATTATTACTGCAAATCAGGGTGGGAATAGCGTCAGTATTCTTCTCAACGCTGGCAACGGCACCTTCCATGCTGCAACGAATTTAACAGGTGGTGGCAATCCATGGTCAGTAGCAGCGGTCGATGTGAATAGCGACAGTAAACCCGATATTGTTATTGCAAACTTTGGCGGTGACACCGTCGGTGTTTTTCTCAACACAGGTAGCGGCGCCTTTGGTGCTCAATCTACTTACACAGTTGGTACTCAACCATATAGAGTAGCAGTCGTCGATGTGAATAGCGACAGTAAACCCGATATTATTGTTGCAAACTATGGTTCGAGCAGCGTCGGTGTTCTTCTCAACACAGGTAGCGGCAGCTTTGGTGCTCAAAATATTTACACAGTTGGCACTTACCCAAATTCCATAGCAGTCGTCGATGTGAACAGCGACAATAAACCCGATATTATTGTTTTAAGTGGTGGCAACGTCGGTGTTCTTCTCAACACAGGCAGTGGCGCCTTTTATTCTCAAACTACTTACACAGCCAGTAGCCCAGGTTCAGTAGCAGTCGTCGATGTGAATAACGACACTAAACCCGATATTGTTGTTATAAACGGTGGCACGTTTACGGTCGGTGTTCTTTTCAACACAGGTAGCGGCACATTTAATCCACAAATTACTTACGGAGGTTTTAGCGGCCCAAATACAGTAGCAGTCGTCGATGTGAATAATGATAATCAACCCGATATTGTTGTTTCAAACCAGAATTCGGGTACCGTCAGTGTTCTTCTCAACACAGGCAGCGGCACCTTTAATGCTGGTCAAGCTACTTACGCAGTTGGTGATCAACCATATTCAGTAGCAGTCGTCGATGTGAATAGTGATAACAAACCCGATATTGTTGTCGTAAACTATAATGATTACACCGTCAGTGTTCTCATGCATTGTTAAGGCTGACTAATGGCTAACCTTTATTTAATCATTAATATTTTACTACTCTACTACGTATATTAATCTTATAAAACATTACACGATACGGACTAACATTTATTTTCAATATATATAAAAAACTTCAACAAAAATTTGCGAACAAGGTCGCCATCATTTCTGCTTTCTCGTTCTTTTCTGCTTTTTTCTGACGCTTCTGCTTTTTCAACTTTTTTCTGCTTCTTAAAATATTATCTGCATTTCATTTTTAACGCAATTTCAGTTCTAATAAATCATTATTGCATACATATCCGATGAGTTCTTAGTGATGTATATTCTTGTTTTTTTGTTGTCTTTGTTGCATAATGGCAATTAATAAGATGGCGATCTCAAATATCCAATAGTTAAGAAAAACAGTCAATATGTACGTCACTTGTTGAGGTAGTTCTTTACTGATATCTTTCTTTCTGAAGCATTTTCTACTAATCATCCAAATCTTTCAATTCATTGTTGGTTAAGAATATAATAAGCTGTAATATTTATGCTTAGTAGAATAACATGACTGATGCTAACCATAGCCATATTGACCAAGATAGTGAAGTATCAGTAACAATCGAGTCACAAATATCATCCAGTGATAAATCGAAAAAAAGGAATATTTAACACAGAATAGTTAAAGATCACCGAATATGAATAATTTTAGAAAGAATACAAACCTGATGCAATTCAGGCCATATGTATTGCTTACAATCAACAATTTTCAGTACATTATCGAGAAAAAGCTGATATTGACCTTCATATAAAAACTCAAAAGCATCAAAACAATTAGTTACAGAAACGATGAAACCATCAAAAGAAAAAGATGAAACTGTTGCTGCTGAAACTGTTCTGGTTTATCATGATGTAAAATATGATCATTCATATTTATCTCAACAATGCATAATGAATGTTTGTAAAAGAATATTCTCGTCCTCTACAACAACAACTCGTTTATCGTGCATCAACATTTATTGCTCTGAATGTTTTAGCAATATGCTTTACATACAATTTGATTGATTATTTGAAAAGCGCAGTTCATTATTCATTGATTTATGATGCCAGTCACAAAAAGAAATATTAAAATGTACTCATTTTGAGTTCAGTTCTTATCCTGAAATGGTGTCAGAAAAGGTTTTGTTCTTCTGAATTAAATTTATTGTTGTAACAATATTGTTGTATTATTTTTACAATATTCTTAAATCAATAGGTATTTCTTTTTTATCAATGCTAAAGTCTCTGACATTAAACTTAGAAAGTTTTGAAAACTTTTCGCTTCAATCATTTATTCTAATAAATTTCTTGCCACTATTTAATACCAAAACAATATACGACAAAGAGGAGTAACATTCGCTGAATGAAACCTGTTTCTTTGAGGGTGAGTCTCTATTATCTTATAACTCACTCCTTATGATAGAAAGTCTTTTGTAGTTTATTGAGGGCAAGGTCTTATGAAATCAGACTTTTAAAAATTCTAGGAAACAGAAGGTTGACTAATGTCATCTAACAATTTTTTGTCTCCCAGCAAAAATAAATTATTTTTGTAAAATTGAAAAATTTTCAAGATTATAATTTTTTCTCAAAATATGATGATCTTGAGGGGATTAATCTAAAATATAACAAACTTTTTTTAAACATTTTATTTTGTAAACTATAATCAAAAAGATATGTAAGGTTAAAAACGATATTGTTTCTGTATTTATTTAGATTCATATTCTACCATTGATTGGATAGAAAAAAAAATTTAACACAAAGTTGAAAACGTTTTTGAAATTGTCTATTTTGGACAAAAATTCGGCACCGGAAGTTTTGGTATCCATTGCTGTTCGAATAATGGTGGCGGATTGAGAGAATAAAACTTCGGTCCAATTCTAATAAATGGACCAATTTGTAAAGATGCTGTTACAAGAAGAAAGAGTTGTGTCAGTAGCCATGATAAAAGTACAGGTAATTGAAATGGTACGTGGGCTTCGATAGTACAAGCCATGCCGTGCAAAACGAAAAAGACTAAAGCAGGTATGATCGTTTGATAATCTTTGAGTGCAACGATAGCCAAATGCGTGTGAAGTAGACCACTAGTAAAAAACACTAGCAACGGAGCAATCTTTGTAGAAGATAAATGTTGACGAATAGGTTGAAAAAGTGATTCCCGAAAAATAGTTCCTACAAGTTGATTATATCGTCGACCCCAAAATTCGTGTAATGAACGTGACATTATTGGAAAATTATTCATTGGCTTCAGCATATATTTATCATGAGTAATAGTTCGAAGAATAGCACATTGGATATCCAAGAGAAACGAGTATGTTAATATTAATATATAAAACATTATTCTTCTAAAACAACTGTCACTTCCTTCACATATAAGAAGCCATTTATAAATCCAATGATTGACTATTATTTTAATTCCAGCACAGACTAAATCATAAAGAATAGGCCATTTTTGATGTTGATCTGGTGGACAACGTACGATTGGAAAGAACATCCATAGAAATTTTAATATATAATCACTTAATGTTGGGCATTGATCAGGTGTGAGAACAATTAAATGAATCAAACGAATCGATGCTAACCAACAATATGTCACAAATAACATTGAAGTCATCTGAAGAGGTGGATGATCATAAGCCACTACATATGTTAATATTATACAAGGTACAAGTGTTAAAATACATCGAATAATAATATTGGAAATAAAACGAACAAAATAAAAGCATATCAAGATTTGTATGATCCAACCAATAAAAACAAATATTGAAAGAAGCATATTGATATCAAAACCTTGTTGCGACTTTGTATAAAACTATGAGAATCGTGATGTTGAATGATAAGAACAAATCATAAGATACTACTTTTTATACACTAAACAATAAACCTGTTTGCGAATAAAATCTTCAAGCACTATATAGTCTCGATTTGCCTTATAAGGGAATGTTGACACCTAGTATAAGAAAAGAAAGATTCTGTTCTTGCCATATATGGTTGTTACTATCTATTACGATGAAAAGAAAAAAAATCGAGGACGAAAAGAAACGCAAAATATCACACAGAATATTGTAAAATGATACAATACTGACCTACTTTATTCTAGGCAGAGCTCTATTCAAGTTTCGACTAGAATGAATTTAGATATATAGATATAGCAAAATTGACAAGGAAGTAAATCAAAGATTCCTGAAATATCTTTTTCAATTGATGAAATTCATATAGCCATAGTGTGATAAATAGCAGAATATATGAAAAAAGCATACATATATATAACAAAATCTTTCTATTCTATGAAAGTATAGAAAATGTTTTTTATTTAATAAAAAAACTGTATTTGTCCTTCTTCTTGATCCCATTCTTCTCGAATAACTGAATGATAACTAATATTAGTTAATATAACAAAATATTCAAAAAAACAATACATTGAATAAATATATGGTTCACAAAAATAATTATGTCGAAAAAAGAAATAAAGTGAAATAAAAAATGAAATAATATTGTAAATAAACCATTTTAATCGTTTTGCTCGAATAAATTTTTCTCTATCATTAAAACACGTGGTTTTTGTTCGTGGCCAATAATAATCAATTAAAATTGTACAAAGCATATGTAATAAGGAACATATCATAAAACCAATAAATCCACATTGATGTATCAATTTAATTTCATTCGATGATACATATGTTAAAACAAGAAGAAATGTTAATTCAAGAAAATGAATTGAACTATTGATTTTTTGTATTAATATATAGAATTCTCGTGAAGCAATATGATGACGATTAAGTAAACGTTGTAATTGTAAATAACCGATTAAATAACGAATAATACTATTTAATCCAAAACTTACACGCCATATAAAACGTTGTGGTTCAAAACCAGCAGTAATCGCTGATATAGATGGAAGAAAATTAGATACTTTACAATGTGTTCGAGTAGATTTTTCAATATCTTTGAATACGGTTAAAATAATACAAGTAATAAAAGCAAAATATGGTAGAAAAAGAGTTAAACGTAAGAAATTAGACATAGATATCTGAACACCTAAAATAAAATTTTTTAATTATATTACTATAAAAAATGAAAAAATAAAATTACGTGATGACATTGTTGGATACAATGAGATGCTTATTACAATCTAGAATAACGAAAGTATAGATTGATAAATTCATTATTCTACAATTTAATTATAGAAAATATGTAACAACATAAAATAGTGCTATTTTATAACGAAGAATATATGTTATGAGGTAAACTTTTTAGTTTTGTATTTAATCCGGTTCAAGAACATCGTCAAGATTAGACTATACTTTTGCATTTCTTTTGTCTATTGAATTGCTCTTACAATCATTGTATATCAGCTGATATTTATCTTCTTATATTTAACACCTTCATCGTATTCTCAGATATCCGATTTCTTACATGAAGGTTTTAACAGATATATTGTAAATTTCATAAATTTGATCATATTTTTATTGTTAATCTATTAGTATTAATATACATATAAATTAGATTATTTTATTTTTATTAGTATTAAATTTTATTACAACTAAATTATTTTGTTTTTAGTAATAATCACTTTTTTTTTAGAGAGAACTAAACGTTCTAATATTGAATTTCATTGAACACAGAACATCTGTGAAAAAAAAGTCATAGATAAACATAAATTCTTTGACTACTATTCGTAATCACTGCCAATTTTCAGTTTGTTGAAAGTAAAAGATTGAATCCAATGAAATATTTTAATATAAGAGGTCACTAAATATGTCGCTAGAAAACGAGTGGAGAATACGGTAGACCTATCTATGATTTATTTATTTATTGTATTATTAGATTACTCATTTTGGAAGGTATATTTAATCAATGGCAACAGTCAATACTGATAATAGCCGAGCAATTGCTCGATTACCAACTAAAGCAGTAAATTAATATATAAGAAATTTTTCCCAATTTTTAACTTGTCATTTTATGTTATTTAGATTTCACTTGAAGATCGTTATGATCCACCAGCTAATTTTCTTGAAATTGATGTTGTTAATCCTGAAACACACGGTTTCGGTAACAAACGATATACTGATTATGAAATTCGAATGAAAGTAAAAGAAATCTTCTTGTTTTTTTTTGATAATTATCATATTATTTTAATCTTTCTATTAGACAAATTTACCAGTCTTTCGTCTCAAAGAAGCTTCGGTACGTCGTCGTTATTCGGATTTCGAATGGTTACGTCGAGAACTTGAACGTGATAGTAAAGTAAGATTAATTTAAAGAATTATTTGATGAATTCTGATCTAATAAGTTCGAATAGTCTTTTCTTGTCAGTGACATATATCTGGATCTATAAAAGTAATTTCATTTAGAATTAGAATCGACTGCTCTAGTTTAAGAATGAATCCCTCGCTCTTCACTTTCATAAAAAAAACAGTAGTATACTCTTTTCAATAGATTGTTGTTCCACCATTACCAGGCAAAGCATGGCAACGGCAAGTACCAGGATTTCTTCGTCGTGATGATGGCATTTTTGAAGATGATTTTATTGAAGAACGACGTAAAGGACTTGAACAATTTGTTAATAAGTATAATAAATGTACTAAAAACTATTGTTTAAGCAAAAATTCGAATTTTATTTAGAGTTGCCGGTCATCCATTAGCACAAAATGAACGCTCATTACATGTTTTTCTCCAAGAAACAACTATTGATTTTGATAAATATATTCCAGGCAAAGTACGAAATTCATAAATCACACAAATGGGACGATTATTTATGCTCTATGTATAGAAATTTTTACATGTGATTTTTTTCTCCTTTTATATCGCATTTACATGCTTCTCTTTCCATACTTTCCATCATATACTTGTTTCTTCTTCTTTTTTTTTAATTTATAAAAACAAAATGAATTCATTTTCCATGTTATTTATGTAAGACGTATTCTTTTTGAAATCTAGATAGAAAAAACTCTAAATCAAGAAATTTTGTTATCGATCTTTAATTTAAATAGAGAAACTTTGGATCTATAATTCAAAATACAATACAAATAGTTCTGATTGATGATTCATACAAATTTCTTATAATGTCAGATCATGATGAATAAAAGAGTAAAATAACGGCATTTGAAGAGAAATTTTAGAATATAATTCAACTTCCACCTACAAGAACACGACTATAAAACATTCGTTTTTCTATCGTTTCATTTGTAATTACATATTTATTTGAACAACTAACAATAAATGAAAAACATCCTTACAAAATAAAAGAAATGAATTTTCCTGTGACATCGTTTTTAATTCTAATGGAAACATGCATTAATACTTAGGATACATCATGATAATTAACAGAGAGAAATGTTTTACTATCTTTCAAAACGTTTTCTTCCATACTATGTATCATGTATCAAAAAGTAAAAATTTCTTGATCGTGAAACTTTATATGCTGTTCTTTTTTTCAATCTTGAAAAGTACTAATGAGTCAATATTTCGAATAGATAGAATATGGGTAAGTTTTGTTTTAATTTTTTTTATGAACTGTGAATGGTGACCTCTATTTTAAATATGGCCCTCTATTAGAAATGTTTTCTTCTAGATTGGTCATTTGTTATTCGAAGGATCACTAATAAATAACAATATCGATACTTTACGGAAGATATTCATTTTAATTTCAAAATCATTTGTCTTTAAGATTCATTATAGTTTTTCAATCTCTCGTTTTCATATCGTATTAATATCATAAATGGGACCATTCCGAGGAGGTATTAAATTAATTTCAAAGTATCATTTCTTTAACCATTTTTTTCATTCATTTAGGACGTGGAGATTCTAGAGGCGGCGGTGGTGGTCGCGGTCGTGGAGGTGGTGGTGGTTTCCGAGGTCGAGGAGGCGGTGGAGGTGGCCGAGGTGGTGGTGGCGGTTTTCGAGGTCGAGAACCTGAAGGTCCACCTGACTCTGTCGTTGGTAAGAAGTGATATTTTTTTTTGTTCGCTTTCTATATACTTTTAATTTAATAGAAATTGGATCATATGCTCATCCATGTGAAAGTCAACTTGTATGCAAAGCAACGAATGAAATGATTCCATATTTCAATGCTGGAATATTTCTTGAAAATAAACAACAAATTGGAAAAGTTGATGAAATTCTCGGTCCCATGAAACAATATGTATAAATAAAAAAAAAAAGATTAATTTGATTATAATCTATCTCTTATTTCTATCTAGTGGTTTTCTGTATCGCTCTTGGAAAATATGAAACCAGATTCATTTAAAAAAAATGAAAAGGTATTTATGTCAAAATAATAATCATTATTGATAAATTTTATTTTCTTTTTTTAGCTTTTCGTTGATCCAAATAAACTTTTACCATTGGCTCGATTTTTGCCACGACCAGCAGGATCAAAACCAATGGGTGGCGGTGGTCGAGGAGGACGAGGTGGTGGTGGACGAGGAGGTATGATATTACTTTTCGAAAGCAGATATATTTATCATTATTAATAAAATTCTTTATATTTAGGAGGTTTTTCACGTGGTGGTGGTCGTGGTGGCGGCGGTGGTTTCCGCGGTGGTAATGACCGAGGAGGTCGTGGTGGTGGTGGTTTCCGAGGAGGCCGAGGTGGTAGTTTTGGTGGTGGTGGTGGCCGTGGAGGCGGCGGTGGATTCCGTGGTGGTCGTGGACGTGGAAACTGATATTAAACAAAAGAAATTTGTTTTTCTCTTTGTCTGTTATTTGTCATTTTTTGTATGACAATTAATAATTATCGTTGTTGTTTTTTTTCTACTAGTTATATACATAAAACTAACAACATGAAACAAAAAAATATACAAAAAAAAAATACATGAATATGTTCTTTTATTTAACGTGGAATTGGTTTCGATAAAATAATAAGTACAGCAGAGATTAGACGAAGTAAAGTTCCACCACTAATAATTAAATAATTTCTTCGACCAGATATTTCTTTAAAATAAAATATTGACCAAAGTATAGCAATTGTACCAGGTCCAATTGTTACTAATGGAAATGAGATTGCTTGACTTAAAACACTATTGGCAACGAGAAAACCAGCTTGTGCAATACCCCACATTATACCAGAAATAATTGCTGGAAATATACTTTGAACATGAATATATGGACGATTTCCTTTGTAAGCAATATAAACTATATAGTAAAACATTGATGAAAAGAATATTCCTGAATACATTGCAAATACATAATGAAGACCATTTTTTGATGCTGTTTTATATTGATCATAAGGATGATCTTGAATATATGTACTTGGAATAAAAACAAGACCAAAAAAAATACCAGCAATAGTAGCCAATATACAACCCACAATACGTAAATATATATTTATTGGTGGTGAATCAATAGTTGTTACTGTTTCAATCGGTGCATCATTGCTTGTTGTTGTTACAATGGGTGGTGATGAATGAAGAATAGGTTGTTGTTCTTCAATATTTGCAGTAGTATCTAATTCTTGTTTTACTGTTCGTATTGCTAAAAATACAATTCCACTTACACATGCAATCGTAACACCCATATAATTAAGAATTGGTTTTTCAACATTTTCAGGTATTAAACCAAACCATCCAAAATGTCCACTTGCCCAGCCTATAGAAAAAAAATTCATTGAGAAGAAAAAAAGAATCTTTTTTATTATATTTACCAATAAGCATATTTGTTGTACACCAAAGTAACATTGACATTCCTAAACCATTGATACGAATAACCAACAAACTTAATATATTTCCTGTTGTCCATAAAATTCCACCGATTAAAACCAGTGGAAAAAATTGTGGACTTTTTACAAATAAATCAATGACAAGACCTGTCATCCAAATACCACAACACATAAAAAATTGAAATGATAATCCATCACCAATAGGATATTTTCCTGCTGGAACAAGGTTAGAACCAAAAAATAGTACAGCAATTATTACAGATATATAACCAATCCAAAGTGGTGTATTCACTTCAACAGGTGGATGACTAGTTGTTGTATTGAGTACTGTTAATACGAGATTCATTTTTTAAATGATTTAATCAAAACTAGTATTATTTACATTCCATGAAGAAAAGAAAAAAAAAGCGATTGTTTTTTCTCTTTTCTGTATTTTACCTCGTTGATTTTATACGTGAAAAACATCAAATAGTTAATAAGCTATACTAGTTGTCAAAGTACGTCGCTAACATATATTATATTTGTCTTATTCCAGGTACTTATAAAAATAGATATAACTATTCTTTTTTTAGTAATAAATACATATTCTTCAGTAGTATTGACAAGCATTATTGTATTCATTCTTCGATGAAATAACAAATAAACCATGTAATTTGTTTCTCTTAGATAAGCAATCGTTTAACCTAGAAATATTTTATCACTATCAGTAGAGCATCACTTAAACGAAGAGTATTTGTTTTTTCTTATCATTTTCATTCATTTTTTTTGTTTGATAATATTCATATGGAGACATTAAAAAATCCGCATCAAGCTCAGGATGATTTCGTTCTTCCTGAAAATAATAAACCAACGAAAGAACCAACAATAAAACTAACCCCGGAGCAAATTGAATTTTTTAAAACAAATGGTTTCTTAAGTATTGATCATTTAATTGATGAGAAAGAAGCTACTTATATTCGTGATCAATATGATAAAGTATCGCTCTATCATGATCTACAAATAATATTTATTAGTATTGTTCTTTGTTCATAGTGGTTTGCTGCTAAAGTTGGTCGAGAACATGGAAACTTCTTTGATTTACTCTCTGAAGATACTGATGATAAAGAAGCAGTTGCACCACAACTTTTATGGCCATCAATTTATGGTAAAATTATGACAAAATTTGATTTATATGATACTCAAATGTATGCAAATGCATATGAGATTAGTAAAAGTTTACTTGGTGATGAAACAACTTTTAAAGGAGTATGATCAAAGAAAAGATTTATATTATGTTGAAAAATTATACGTTTCTTTTCCTATTAGGATCATGCTATTTTAAAACCTCCATCTGTAAATTCACTTCCAACTCCATGGCATCAAGATGAAGCTTATTGGGATCCAACATTAACATACGAATCACTTGGTGTTTGGGTTGCTCTTCAACCAGTATCAGTTGAAAATGGTTGTATGCAATTTATTGCTGGTTCTCATCGTACATCTGATGTACTTCCTCATCATACTCAAAATAATAATCCACGTATACATGGTCTTGAAGTTGATAATCCATCAGATTATCAAAAAAACATTATTTCATGTCCACTTCCAATTGGCGGTGCAACTTTTCATCATTGTCGTACATTACATTATACTGGTCCTAATTGTTCCGATGAACCACGTCGTGCTTATACATTACAATTTCAATGCAATACAAAAAAACGTGATGAACCACGTTTAAATACTTGGAATGAAATTAAAACAACAGAACGTGAAAAACGAGCAAAAGAAAGTGGTTGGAATCTTCGAGCACCTTAAAAACAAAAATTTTATTGGAAATATAATAACAAACAGAATTATTCCATGGAAATAAAAACAGAGACAGAAAAAATAAATTTTTTTTAAATAATAATAATTAAGCAAAAGAAATTCGAGGTGGCCATTGACCATTCATTATTTCAGGTTGTTCGAGTTGAAGAATAATATTATCTGCATCATCATCACGTGATCGCCAATTTCGAAGAAATCTAGTTAATAAAAGAAAAACAATTGAAATTTCATGTAAAAAAAAAAGAAACATCTAAATATAAACAAAAATGGCATGCTTATTGTAACTGGGATATGTCGAGACAGGGATAGATTCTTTTTATTTCTACCTGAATTCACATAAATTCCATCGTTGTATACATCTGAATAAAAATATTAGTTCAAACATCCTTATTTTTATAAGTGAAATCTCTATTTCTAATTGAATATTGAAAACTATGTACATACCGTCGATATGGAGTTTGTTGTCGATTATAATAGATATAGCCAATACTAATAACCACTACTACTGTTATTAGAAGAGCAACTAATAACCACCAACCTTGTCTTGACAATGCTATTTATAGAAGAAGAAGAAAAAAGATTTAATTAAATATTATTATTTCATGCGATATTTTGTTAATTTAAAAAATAGAAAATGAATTCTTGTTTCTCACGTTTTGAAGGAGAATTACTATTAACACCGGATGTAGTTGATATATTCATAAAAACAGTACTAGGAAAAATAGTTGTTGGTGTAGTTGTTATCAATATCGTTTCATTTGACTTTGTAGTCGAGCTTGTTGTTGAAGAAGTAATAATAGTTGTAATACTTGTTGTTCCATTAGAAAATGGAGTTGTTAGTTCTGTAGAATTTTCTTTACTGTTATTATCATTGAGATCTAATTGTGGAGTTGTGGATTCGTGGTCTGACTTTATTGATCGGCAGAAAATGAATGTTAATAATAATATAATGAACACTAAATATGAAGATGCGTTTTTTTTGCTTGATAGATGATGTATAACTTACCATTAAATGATGTCATTCTTGCATAAAAAATGAATGAATAAGTAAGAGCAAATAGGTATGCTATTACATACACGTTTCTTTTTCTTTTTGCAAGTTGTTTTTTATTCACTCAAGGAAACGAATGATTATTTCTAAAAAATACTTAGAAATATATTATTAATGAATAAAAACAAAAAGTTATCTTAGTAAAATCAGCTTTTAAAAAAATGAGTTATAGACATAATATATATATATATAACATTTGAATTATAATGGATGTTAGTCTGTACAAATAGAGTGCACATTGTCTCTAGCCATGTTAGTGATGATTCGAAACAAACAAGAGGAAAAAATGAGGAAGAAAATGACACGTTCTTTGCTTCGCTTCTGTTCTTTTTTTTTCTTTTTTTTTTCTGAATGAAACGCGTCAATGACATCATGATGATGTAAACGCGTAGGCGGTGCTCATAAAAGTTGACTTTACTAATATACATTTACATTAATTACTAATAAATCCTTAGAAACATCTGCACTTTTCTGTCTAACACAAACAGTCGGCATAAGATCTCTTGATTGTCTTTATCTTAAATGCAAGATAAATTATCTTGATAATAATGTGTCACAATTATCTTTTGAAAAGGAGAATCCTATCTAATATAGAAAAAATATATATCAATATTATAGATCCATCCTATCATCGATCATTATATAAAAGAAAGAAATCTAATAATTCGACAATAGGAAATAGAAGCAGACATGATTGGCAGTTCGCCAATCAAGTTGGTACTTGTGATACATTATGAAAAGGCAAAAAAAAAAGATGAAGAACGGATAGGGCACTTTTTTTTTGCTTCTTCTTCTTTCTAGCTAGAAAGCGAAAGAAAATTGATGCTTTATATCGAGCTAAAAAATGTGACACAGTTACGTGACCGAGCAACCCAGAACAAAACGCACAATGTTGGAACGTACAAACAATACTCTAACGGCTAATGTATGTAAATTCGATCTTTTTTGTCTACATTTAATAAACTAGAGTAAACAGAAAAGACCTAATAATTGATCACGTTCAAAATCCATTGATCGAAATATTTTTTATGAAATCATATTTCACAATCTTGTGACCTAAGGCAAAAGTTAACAAGATAATTAGATTAAATATATTATTTTAGCAGAAATGCATCATCTATATATATATATTAGGAACTTCGAAATGACCGAGATATGATGATGTCTAAGGATACACCTTTTGTCGATGATCCTACGCCACAAGATGGTTTGCCTGTAATTGATCGAACATCACGTAGTATATCTCGACGAGTAAGTCATATATAAATTCATTGATAATATAAATTTATTTATTTTTTGTTCAGAAAGTAACTGTTATTGTTTCTGTAGCAATTTTCATTGGTGTAGTAATTCTTGTTGTTTTAATACCTGCATTAGGGCTTCATAAAAGCGATTAACAATTTTATTGATGTAAATAAAATACAATAGAACTTTTCTTTTTTTTTGCTTGTATAAAAATTTCATTTAAATTCATAATAAAATAAAGGAAAAACATAATTTAAAATTTATTAAAGTAGAACTAATTCAAGAAGATTATTTTCTTCATATAAATTATATATACGACGATAAACATCTTCAATTAATGGAAAACATTTTTCATCTGTATGAGGTTCGATTTGACCATGTAATAAAGTTTGTTTTAATGTTTCACGTTTTGGTATAGTTGCGGTTGCCAACCATATACTAACTTGAAGAGCTTTATTATGTCGTTTATGTAATGTTTGTTTATATACATCCCAAGCAACATGTTTTGGTGCTGCTGTTTCTGTCGGTGAAACTATTGCACGTTTTAAAAATAAATAAGTAAATTCTAAAGCTCTTAATAAACGTAATAATGCTATTGTACCAGTGTTATCATTCCGAGATTTTTCATATTCAATCATTGTTTGAACAGTATGATAATTTGTTAGATTATTTTTATGAAGATTATCAAGTAAATTAAATTTATCAGCTAGATCTTTGGCAACAAATTGAAAAACAACATTGAGATGATCAAAAAACCTAAGAAATAAATTAAAATTCATTTAATATTATTATTATTATAATAATTACTTTGATAATTCTCGAAAAGCAATAATAAATTCACAAAGATGAATTGATTGATTATCTGATTTATCAATTACATTATTAAATGTTTTATATACATTGTCAAGATTGTATTCTGTCGGTATTGAAGTTTCCATGTCTATTAAACACTTAAAAAATAAATAGACACGACATCAATGAATAAAAGGAAGTTATTTTTTTT